ATGGAAGAGGGAATGAAACAGGATATTCTAAGGGACACTGGCTTTGTTCAGGGGGCTTTTCCATTCAGATACCTTGGTGTTCCTCTCAATGCTAAATACTTGAAGATTTCTGATTTTGACAGTATTATAGACAAGATGCTTACAAGGATTACTTGCTGGACTAGTAGGAATCTCTCCTACAGTGCTAGAGCTACCCTTATTAATTCGATGCTGATTAATCTGCATACATACTGGGCTCAATGTGTGTTATTTCCTAAGGGTGTAATTCAGAGAATTACACAACTTTGTAGAGCTTTTCTATGGGGGGGTACTGCTGTCCTTGGCTGTGTGCCTCCTATAGCCTGGCATTGGGTTTGTAAACCTAAGAAGTATGGAGGATTAGGGATTAGAGACTGCTGTTCTTGGAATAAGGCAGCCTTGGGGAAGTATATTTGGCAGATTGCTACTAAGAAAGACACCTTATGGGTTAAATGGATTCATAACTTGTATTTGAAAGAGCAAAACTGGTGGACTTATAATCCTAAGAGATGTTATGGCTGGGCATGGAAGAAGTTATGCTCTATCAAGGCTGAACTGCAGCAAGGTTTTGAGAGTGAGAACTGGTTGAACAAGAACTATAAGATTAGTGACTGCTATGCTTGGTTACAGGGGAGTCAAATTAAGGTAGGGTGGGATAAATGGATTTGGAACAGATTTAATATTCCTAGACACTCGTTTATCTCTTGGTTAGCTGTTCAAGAGAGGCTCAAAACTCGAGACAGACTTGAGGTTGTGGGCTGCTGTGAGGATGCTACCTGTTTACTTTGTGGTGAGACAAATGAGACTCATAAGCATCTCTTTTTTTAATGTCCTTACAGTAGAGCTTGTATCAAGATGGTTGGATCATGGCTGGGTATAAATGAAAGGCACTTCTGTTTAGAAAGATCTTGGAAGCACTGGCTGAGACATAGCAAGGACCTGATTTGGAAAAGAACTGCTTTGGCAGGGCTTAGTGCATGTGTTTATCACTTGTGGTTTTCTAGAAACCATGCGTACTGGAACAAGGCTATTATTCTCCCAGAGAAACTTTGTAAAGCCATCTGTATTGAAATAACCTCGAGGATTCAACAGCTCATTGATAATAGGTGGAGAAGAGCTCATTGCAAGTGGCTGTACAAGTTGAAGAGCAGCATTCCTGAGATTTGTTTATGAATGTTAGTGTTGTATTTTTTTTAGTTTCTAGGCTGTAGTTTCTGTTGTTGTCCTGGTTCTTGCTTTGAGTACCCTTCATAGAAGGTGACTCGCAGCTTGAGGCCAGGTAGTTCCCCACCTAGATGTAGGGTCCCTTCATAGAAGGTGGTCTACTCTAGGATGGGAATTTGGAGGGGTTGGCTGCCTTAGGGCTTGTGTAGTTTGGTGCTTTGACCTGTTTTTGTATGGTTGTACGGTTGTATTTTGCCTTCCTTTTTTTGGTAATAAAATTACTTATCTTCCAAAAAAAAAAAGGAATCAAGTGAAAATCAAACAAAGATTTTTGAATCAAACTATTGTCAAATACATTCAACGATGCTAATTGAATCATATGAAAGTCAAACACATTCAAACAAAGCTTTTTGAATCAAATGAAAGTCAAATGCATTCGAAAAACCTAATTGAATCAAGTGAAATTCAAACACATTCAAACAAAGCTTTTCATATAAAATGAATGTCAAATGCATTCAACGATGCTAATTTAATCATATGAAAGTCAAACACATTTTAACAAAGCTTTTGGAATCAAATGAAATTCAAATGCATTCAACAAAGCTAATTGAATCAAATGAAAGTCAATGACATTCTAACAAAGCTAATTGAATAAAATGAAAGTCAAACACATTCAAACAAAGGTAATTGCATCAAATGAATGTCAAAAACATTCAACAACATTTATTGAATCAAATGAAAGTAAACCACATTCAACCAAAGTTAATTGAATCAAATGAAAGTCAAACACATTCAAACAAAGCTTTTTGAATCAATTTAAAATCAAATGCATTCAAAAATTCTAATTGAATCAAGTAAAACTTAAAAAAATTCAAACAAAGCTTTTTGAATCAAATGAAAGTCAAATGCATTCAACAAAGCTAATTGAATCAAATGAAAGTCAAACACATTCAAACAAAGCTAATTAAATCAAATGAAAGTGAAACACATCCAAACAAAGTTTTTTAAATCAATTTAAAATCAAATGCATTCAAAAAAACTTATTGAATCAAGTAAAAGTCAAATACATTCAAAAAAGCTAAGTAAATAAGGTGAAAGTCAAACACATCCAAGTAATGCTTTTTGAATCAAATGAAAGTTAGATGCATTACATAAAGCTAATTGAATCAAGAAGAGTCAAACACATTCAAACAAAGCTAATTGCGTCAAATGAAAGTCAAACACATTCAAACAAAGCTCTTTGAATCAAATGAAAGTCAAATGCATTCAAAAAATCTAATTAAATCAAGTGAAAGTCAAACAAATTCAAACAAAGCTTTTTTAATGAAATGATTGTCAAATGCATTCAACGATGCTAATTGAATCTTATAACTGTCAAACACATTCAAACAAAGGTATTTGTATCAAATGAAAGTCAAACACATTCAAACAAAGCTTTTTGAATCAAATGAAAGTCAAATGCATTCAACAAAGCTAATTGAATCCAATGAAAGTCAAACACATTCAAACAAAGGTCTTTGAATCAAATTAAATTCAAATGCATTAAAAAAGCTAATTGAATCAAGTTAAAGTTAAAAAAATCAAAATAAAGCTTTTTGAATCAAATGATTGTCAAATGCATTCAACGATGCTAATTGAATCACATGAAAGTCAAACACATTCAAACAAAGCTTTTTTAATCAAATGAAAGTCAAATGAATTCAACAAAGCTAATTAAATCAAATGAAAGTTAAGGACCTTCTAACAAAGCTAATTGATTCAAATGAAAGTCAAACACATTCTAACAAAGCTAATTGCATCATATGAAAGTCAAGCACATTCAACGAAGCGTATTGAATCAAATGAAAGTCAAACACATTCAAACAAAGCTAATTTAATAAAATGAAAGTCAAACACATTCAAACAAAGCTTTTTGAATCAATTTAAAGTCAAATGCATACAAAAAAGCTAATTGAATCAAATGAAAGTCAAACTCATACAAACAAAGCCTTTTGAATCAAATGAAAGTAATATGCATTCCAAAAAGCTATTTAAACTAGTGAAATTCAAAGGCATTTAAATAAAGCTAATTGAATCAAATGTAAGTCAAACACATTAAACAAAGCTTTTTGAATTAAATGAAAGTCAAATGTATTCAAAAAATCTAATTGAATCAAATGAAAGTCAAACACATTCAAACAAAGCTTTTTTAATCAATTGAAAGTGAAATGCATTCAAAAAAGCTAATTGAATTAAGTGAAAGTCAAATGCATTTAAAAAAGCTAAGTAAATCAGGTGAAAGTCAAACATATCCAAGCAATGCTTTTTATATCAAATGAAAGTTAAATGCATTCAACAAAGCTAATTGAATCAAATAAGAGTCAAACACATTCAAACAAAGCTAATTGCGTCAAATGAAAGCCAAACACATTCAAACAAAGCTCTTTGAATCAAATGAAAGTCAAATGCATTCAAAAAATCTAATTAAATCAAGTGAAAGTCAAACAAATTCAAACAAAGCTTTTTTAATGAAATGATTGTCAAATCCATTCAACGATGCTAATTGAATCTTATAACTGTCAAACACATTCAAACAAAGCTTTTTGAATCAAATGAAAGTGAAACACATTCAAACAAAGCTTTTTGAATCAAATGAAAGTCAAAGACATTTAAACAAAGCTTTTTTAATCAAATGAAAGTCAAATGCATTCAACAAAGCTAATTGAATCCAATGAAAGTAGAGAAAGTCTAGAGAGAGAAAGTCTGGAGAGAGAAAGTCTTCGTTGCCACCATTTAATGCATTTAATGCACTGAATCCATGGCTAACCGTAAAAAAGGTAAGGCGAAGAAGAATTCTTGCTCTAAATCCTCCTCTAAGTCCTAAAAGAAGCAGCGTTACAAGCTTAGGTCTTGCAAGAAAGTGAATGAGGATCAAGAAGTGATGACGGAAGTGGGTTCGGTTGGAAGTTGGCTTGATGGAGAAGCTATGGATGAAATCCCCATTAAAAAGATTTCTGAAGAAATCAAAGCTCAGAATCTTTGAGCTCAATCAATGGTTACAATTAATTGATTCTTCCCCTTTAAGAGCGAAGGGCTCTATTTCTAGGTCTGCTGCAAATTCGTTTAACATATCCCCTTTATTGATGATTGCTAATTCGAATCATCCAATTCTTGAGGATTATAATGTTGAGAGTAATTTTGCTGCGAATTTGAATTTTGAGGGTGTTTCTAGCCCAAAATAGGATTCCCCCAATTTCAATTCCCCTATTTTGAGTAATCAGTGCATGCATGGTGAGAAATCGTGGGGTGGGTTATTTGAGAATTTTGTGGATGAAGGGATGAGCCTTAATGATAGAAATAAATGTCATAATCCTATTAATGGTGATTGTTTACTTCAATTGTCGAAAGAGGATGTTTAGCCTGAAATTGATTTTTTGGATTTTGTTGTAGTCTGTTATGTTCTATGCACCCAGCCTCCTTATTCGGTGATGAATGGGTTCTTGAGAAGAGTATGGGGGAGGTATGGTATAGATAGAGTAGCGTCGTGTGATAATGGTGTTTTCTTGGTTCGTTTCAAAACATGGGATTCTAGAGAGCAGGCTCTGGCTGCTGGTCCTATTCTCTTTGATAAGAAATTAGTGGTCACCAAAAGATGGCAACCTGATTTGAAGATCAGAGATGAACAGGTGTATGATGTTGTTGTATGGGTAAGGCTCCCTAATCTGGACTTGAAGTTTTGGGGAAGGAAGGCTCTAATGAAGATTGCAAGCCTAATTGGTAAACCAATCTAAACTAACAAGATAACATCTACTAAGGAGAGAGTGGTTTATGCTAGGATAATGGTGGAAGTGACAATCAATGGGACTCTGCCTGAGTTCATAGAATTTTTGGATGAAGAGGGGAACAGGATCAAACAGGCTGTTCAGTTTGAATGGAAACCAGTTGAATGTCTTATGTGTAAGGGTATGGGGCATGTGGAACAGGATTGTCCTAATCACTATGTTAAGGCAAAAAAGACCCAGTAAAGGCAGCAAGACTTTAATCAGAGACAAAGAGTATGGAGACCTGTGTAGAAACATAGGCTTGTGCCAGAACCATATGCATAAATCTGTACAAGAGCCTGTGAGGAAACCAGTGCAACATACTGTACAGAAATCTGTGCAACGACAGGATAAACAGCAGAAGACTAATAATGCTGTGAAAATGTATAATAGATTTGAGGGATTGCAGGATGTAGATCGAGAAGAGGTTAGTGTTGTGCCTAAATTGTTGAAGAGACAACACCTGGTTAATAAGAAAAGGCCTGTTGAGAGGGATGGGAAGGTAGTAGTTGGAGGATGGGAGAGGGGTGAGTGCTCCTACAATTTTAATGGATAAGTGGGCTTTTGGAATGTGAGAGGTATAAATCAACCTAGTAAAATTTGTGATGTCCTTTGGTTTCTAAAGCATCATAATATAGGTTTATTTGGCCTCATTGAGACAAAAGTTAAGGCTAAGAGTTTTGGGAAGGTTTTTGCTAACGTTAGTAGTAATTGGTCTGTTATTACTAATTACAGTAAGGTTGATGGAGGTAGGGTCTGGGTGATCTGGCAGCATTCTGTGTATATGGTGCAGGTGGTAAGGACTGAGCCTCAGTGTATCCATTCCTATGTTACTCATAAGGCTTCTGGTGTGTCTTTCTAGTGTATTATGGTGTATGGGTGAATGTGGCTGTAGGTAGAGAGAGTCTTTGGAAGCAGATATCTGAGGTTAGCCTCTCAGTGACTGGTGCTTGGGTAATTTGTGGTGACTTCAATAACATTTTGAATCTGGAAGACAGGTTGGGATCTCCATGTTGCTTGAATGAGGTAGAGAAGTTTAGAGAATGTTTGAGGCAGTGTGATTTGATGGATTTTAAGACAGGAGGCTCAGTTTTTACTTACACAAATAAACAGCAGGGCACTAATAGGGTTTGTACCAAGATTGATAGAGTTCTGATTAATGAGGAATAGTGTGATATCTTTAAAAATGCAAGTGATATGTTCCTGCCTGAAGGGCTTATGGATCACTGTCCATGTGTGGGCTCCTTATTTGGGGATGCAAATGTGGAAAAGAGGCCTTTTAGGTTCTTTAATATGTGGACTAAATTTCCAGGATACCATGAGTTAGTTGATCAAGCTTAGGGCACTAGTATTCAAGGCACTGATATGTTTGTGTTAGTGAAGAAACTTAAGGCTGTTAAAGGTTGTCTTAAAAATGTGAACATGGCTCATTTTTCAAATGTTGAGACAGCTGATGCAGTGGCTACTATGAAGTTACAGAAATGTCAGGAGAGGCTTTTTCTTGATCCAGAGAATGAGGAGCTTATTCAAGCTGAGATTATGGCTAGAAGCCTAGAACTGAGTATGCTATTGCTCATAAAGCCAAGTTTCAATTCTTAAAACAGAAGGCTAAGCTTCATTGGCTTAATGATGGGGATGTTAATTCTACTTACTTTCATGCCTGTTTGAGAAATAGAAAGGCTACTAACAGGATCTCTAGTATCTCTCTAGCTTCTGGAGAGATCACTCAAGACCCTTCTTTGATAGCTTCTTCCTTTCATGACTTCTACATTGATTTGCTCGGCACTTACACTATTCCTCAGAAGAAGCTTCACCCTGCTGTCATATTAGAGGGGCCTGTGCTGAATTCAGGTCAGAAATTAGCTCTGTGCAGGACCTTTAGGGAGGAGGATATTAAGAGTGCTCTCAGGAGTATAGATGAGGACAAAGCTCCAGGTCTAGATGGGTTCTTAAGTAGATTCAATAAGACATCCTGGAATACTGTGAAATCAGTGATATGTAAGGTTGTTCTTGGCTTTTTTGAACATGGTAAATTACTTAAACAGGTGTGTACCACTACTCTTACTCTGATTCCAAAAACAGGAAGTGCAAGTCAAATTTCTCATTTTAGACCTATTGCTTGCTGTAATGTGGTGTACAAGATCATTTCTAAAATGATTTGTTCTAGATTGAAAGAGGTTCTTCCTGCTATAATTGATGAATGTCAAGGGGCATTTGTGGCTGGTAGATCAATTATGGATAATATTCTAATTTGTCAAGACATGTTAAAGGACTATAATAATAAAAGGAAATCTCCTAGATGCACTATTAAGGTAGATTTGAGGAAAGCATATGATTTTGTCCATTGGGATTTTATAAGGGATATGCTTGTTTCTCTGGGGTTCCCTGACCAGTTTGTTCACTGGATTATGGTGTGTGTCTCTTCTCCTACCTATTCTTTGCTTTTAAATGGGGGCATGCATGGCTTTTTTCGTGGAAAAAGGGGAGTGAGGCAGGGGGATCCTATGTCCTCATTGCTTTTTGTTATAGTCATGGAATACCTCGCAAGATTGCTTAAGAAGGTGAGCAAGCTCAGAAGCTTCATGTTTCACTATGGATGCAAAGGTCTTCATCTCAACCATATGATATTTGCTGATGATTTAATGTTGTTTGCTTATGGAGATAGGAAGTCAGTGGATTATTTGATTAGAGCTTTGACCATGTTTGAGAAGGTTTCAGGTTTAAAGGCTAATTCTGAGAAAACTGCAATTTATTTTGGTAATGTAAATGAAGGGATCAAGCAAAGTATTCTGGACCTCACTGGGTTTGTTGAAGGTTCAGCTCCTTTTAGATACCTTGGAATTCCTTTGAACGCAAAATATTTGAGGGTCTCTGATTTTGATGTACTTATTGATAAGATGTTGCAGAAACTTATGTGTTGGTCTAGAAGGAACTTCTCTTATTATGCAAGGGTAGTTCTCATCAATTTTGTGCTTATATGTTTGCACTCCTACTAGGCTCAATGTGTGCTGTTTCCCAAGGCTGTTATTCAGAGAATTAATCAACTGTGTAGGGCTTTTTTATGGAGTGGGTCTGCTGTTCTGTCTAAAGCCCCTTCCCTGGCTTGGACTTGGGTTTGCAAGACTAAGAAGTTTGGTGGCTTAGGGATGAGAGACTGTGAAAGATGGAATAAGGCTGCTCTTGGTAAATATGTGTGGCAAATTGCTAAGGAAAAGGACTCACTATGGGTAAAGTGGGCTCATGATGTATACATTAAGTCTCAGGATTGGTGGTCTTATAGCCCAAAGAAGGCTGATGGATGGGCTTGGAAGAAAATTTGCAAAATCAAGGAAGAGCTCAAGATGGGTTTCATGAGTGAAAACTGGACTGAACTGAAATATTCTATTGCTGCTGTGTACAATTGGTCTCAGGGTACTGATGAGAAGGTGAATTGGACTGATTGGATTTGGAGTAGATATAATATTCCTAAAACAGCTTTCATAACTTGGTTGGAAATTTTGAATAAACTCAGAACCAGAGATATGTTGTTCAAACATGGAATCTATGATACAGATGTGTGCTTGTTTTGTGATGCTGATGTGGTAAGCCAGCAACACCTGTTTTTTTTATTGTGCTTATAGTAGAAGATGCTTGTTGATTGTGAGTGGCTGGCTGGGAATCCAAGAAATTCATTTTAATATAAATAGCACTTGGAAGCATTGGAAGGATCTATTTAAAGACCTAGTCTTGAGGAAAATTGGGTATGCTAGTCTTGCAGCCTTGGTGTACTATCTGTGGACTGCTAGGAACACAGCATTCTGGAATCATGCTATCCCAGTTCCTGACAAGCTCTGTCATGCAATGTGCTTAGCAGTGGTGGATCGTGTTCAGCAACTTATTGATTGCAAATGGAAGAGAAGGAGGTGTCAATGGTTGAGGTCGTTGAGAAAAAACATTCCTTCATAACTTGTCTACCTTTCTGGCTGGTGGCTTTTGTTTCTGGTTGTGTATAGTGGTGGGGCTGTGTTTCTGCGTTCTGTGCAGCTGGGTGTGCTTGTTTTTGTTTTCTTGTTCTACTGGTTGTTTCTGTCTCTATCAGGACTGCAGGGAGCTTCTGTCCTGCTGCTGTGTTGTTGTTTTTCCTGTTTTTGTAGTGCTGTGTGTTGCTGTGATGTGGCTTGGAGTTGCTGTGATCTTGTGTTGCTGAGTTCTTGAGTACTGGGTTGCTGAGGTACTGGTGCATGCTGTGTTCTGGGGTGTGGCTGGTTCTGAGTTTTCTGTGGAGGCTTGCTGTGGTTGTTCTTTCTCAGCTAGTTGATGTTGATGTTGTTAGGGCCTAAAGGGAGCTGTTAATTCCATTTGTTGTATTCTTTGTTATTTGTGGTTTTTTGCATGGTTTTATATTGGTCTTGGTGTTTTTTTTTATTGTAGGTAGTGTTTTGTTTTAGTGTTTGGTTGTCTGTAGTATGTTCTGATCCTCGTATTCAGTACCCTTCCTGTTTCGGGGTTTTCTGATGTCCTGCGGGAGAGTTACAATTCCGAGACTGGAACCGGACGCCTGTACCTGCAAAATAACGGAGACTCCTGGGAGCTCCGCCTCCAACGGTCAAGTTAGTACTTGATTAACGAGTAATTAATGCGGAAATTAAAGAGATTGGGTCTCTCTGGGTGAGAGTGTTTAATGTAGGTAATCTGCTTTGTTAGCGAGATCAGCCGGTTATTACTGTGTGTAATTAATGTGTTTTTTCCGTAATGTGTTTCGTAATCCCCCTTAATGAGAATTAAGGGAGGTATTTATAACCTTGGGAAACGTGCCCATCCTAGGTTTAGGTTAACCTAGGGCCGATTGGGCTTCCCTCGGAAGTTGGGCCTGGGTGGCCGGTTTCCCCATTAGGCATGGAGTATGCCACATGTCATGACATAATAGGTCCAAGGTGGACGAATAAGCGCGTGCCACGTGGCAAGCCCTGACAGTTCCAACTGGGGGACACTTGGCAGGACCTAATTGGCCCACGTGGCGCATTCCGATTGGTGGGAGAAAAATCCCTTAATCATTTGCCCCTCACAGGTGGCACGTGATTGGTCACGTGTTACCTGTGACAGGTGTCGCACTGTAATAGGCGGCGACCTTCCACAGGTGTCAGTCGGCGAGAGGACGAGAGATTTTCCCGCCCAAATTTTGAATTCTGAAAGTGACCCTTCGCCTTCTCACTTCGCCTATATAAGGGAGGATTGTCTTGAGTCATTTTCACACTTTGAGAACTTTTTGAGAACATTCGGACCCCTGAACTTGCTCTGACATTTCGGACCTTTTCTGCCTACCGCCTGTTCTGACAAGCCGACTGCACAGGATTTTCAGAACTTCATCAACCGTCACTCGTTCAGGTAACTGTCAGTTCTCTTACTCTTAATTTTCTTTTTATTTTTTGAAATGGCACCACGGAAGCACACGACACGACCTAGGTTAGTGATCAGCCGGTCACCGGGGACGGCTGAATCTAGGACTAGGAGTGCCGCCTGCCCTTTTCCGGACCCATCTTTGCCCTTTATACAAAGTCCGACTGTATCTGTGTCTATGCAGAGCAGGATGGCCAGAACGAAAAAGACTGCTCCTCCCACAGGGTGCCGCTTAGTGAAACATCTGACCAGGCGCCAGATGTGGAAGTGAAACAAGGCGGCCTGAATGCCGGCAATTCTGTGGGGGGAGTCATAGTGACCCCTTCCCATTTAACAGTTAACAATTCTGCTTCTTTTCAAAGAGAGGAGGCGGGCCCCTCCGGGAGAGGGAGGAGTCGTCCTCTTCGGACTCGTCAGAGGACAATTCCGAGTCAAGCTCTTCTGGCCATGCTTCTTTGGGTACAGAAGAGAAAAACAGCCGCCTGCAAGAGGCGAGACTTTCTCATGCAGTTGAGAAGGGGGACAATTGGGCGGAGCCATCCGCCTCTTACCGAGAGCTAAATACCCCCTATTACTGCACGGTACCTCGGGGCCGAATCACAGCCATGCAGGAGAAAGTGGAGAGCTTTATTGCAAACCACACCATGGGCCCCGACTATCTAGTGTTTGTGCCGGATCCAGAAGACACAGTCGTCTGGCCGGCTGGTTCCAGTTATGATAGCGCCTGCTTTGGCTGCTAGGAGGCGGCCATCAAGGCAGGGCTGCGCTTCCCATTACATCCGGCTGTTCAGCGGATTTTGGATGGGTATGAGTTGGGGTTATGGCAGTTAGCCCCAAACTCCTGGGTCAACGTACTCGGCTATGTGGCCGGGTGCGAACTGCACGGGGTGGAGCCGAGCTTCGAGGCTTTTGCCCATATGAACTATCTCAGCCGGACCCCTAAGACAGGCGGTACCGGCTGGTATCAATTAACAAGCCACAGGGGCTACCTCATGACGAGAGGTAAAGCAAACAAGTCGAAGGACTAGCGGAGCACCTTCCTCATCATTGAGAGTTCAGACATTGAGCTGAACAAGCGCTTCAATAGGTGGAACAGGAATCCGCCTCTTCTTGCAGGCGGCCATAGCATGCCGCCTGTTCCCCCCAAGGCTAAGAAAGAGATCCTTGATAAAGGACTCTTTAAAGTAGAGTCGAGGGTCGACTCTACTTCAGGGGTACGAGAGCAAGTACCCCTGCACTGCGTCCCGAGCTTCAAGTAGCTCTATGACGAGTACTTTTTGGCCGCCTGTGGTCTCCGCAGTCGGTGCTCAAGAGGTAGTCGGCCTGTCGAATACTCTGTTGTTCCATACATTTGTTGTTTATCTTTTATTAACTTTGTTGTTTGTTTTTGCAGCTGACGCCATGAGAAAAATCACCGCCTCCAAGACTGCGGCGGCCATGTTGTGGGCCTCTATTATGCAACAAGCTTCAACCGACTCCCCCAAGAAGGGGGCACCCTTGGTGAGCTCCGAACCTTTCACCCTCTTTTTGGAGTGTTTATGCATATACCGACTTTTTTCTTCTTTTTTAGACGGGTGCTCCAAGAGCTTCATCTTCCCAACAGCCGAACCCCAAGGCCCGGAAGACGACTGTTGGGAGCACTCCTGGTTCTGCCAGGAAACCGGTGGCGGCTGAGAAACAGCCGGCCACTTCTTCTAAAACTTCAACTGGGCCGCCTAGAGGTATGAAGTTGTCCTTGTAAATTTTAGACTTGCTCCCTTTTTTACTAGGTCTAATCCGTTTGTTTATGCTTGATGCAGCCGACCCTCAGGAGCCTGACTTGGTAGAGATGGCCAAGTCTATGATCAGGGCAGTTCCTCCAGCTGAAAGGGAGGCGGTCAGGGGTGTCGGCACCCTTGACCTTGACGGGATTGCAAGGGTCCTTGCTGAGGTACACTTAGCATATTTTTGAGTATTTGAATTACTGGACGCCTGTTTTCTTTTTTGTTTGGAAACTGACGCCTGTTTCTTTGTACTTAGGCCCTGCTCCGAGTGAACGGCCTTCGCAAGCCGCTTGATCGGAAGAACGAAGAGGTAAAGGCTACAAAAGCTATGGCCGCCTCTGACTGTGATAAGGCAATGTTTCAAATTGCCCAAAATGAAGTTCTGACCATTGATATTCTTTATTATCAGGCGCAGGCTACCGCCGCTGTTCGGGCTCAGTTAGAGGCGGCCCAGAAGAAGAATGACGAGCTGGAGGCGACCATCACCCATCTCAAGGCCGAGCTGAAACCTCTTCGCCTAAAAATGTACTCTTACGAAGCCATGGAGAAATCCTTGGCCAGCGTAAAGGAACGCCTGGTGACCTAGGAGAAGAGTCTTACCCAAGAGCTCTCGGAAAAGGCCGAGCAAGAGAAGAAAGAGCTGGTCCGGGAGATGATGGAAGACTCCGCTCAAATCCAGCGCATGACCTGGGGCCGCCTCTTCCCCAGTGCCGACTTTGCCTCTTGGGAAAGAACGTACCGCCAGTGTTCAGATACATATAATCAAGAGATCCTGGCGGCTGCTGAGGAAGAGGCGTTGGAGGAAGCGTTGGAGGAGGAGGAGCCGGTAGTGGCGCTTGTGCCGCTTGGGGGTAAGGCATCAAAAAAGGATGCAGCTGAAGCCGAGTCCAGCAAGAAGAGTGCTGACCAGGCGGCAACTACTAATATTGAAGATCTGCCCCCTTCTTAAGCTTTATGTATTCTTTCCACGGCCTGCGTGCCGTTTGCTTTGTATTTACCCGGCCAGGGGGCCGGGGCTTTGAATATTTTGCTGGTCTTTAATGACCGGCTTATTTTTAATGAATTTTTGTTTGCCTCAAATTTGTCTAAGTATTCCATATTCTAATATCCAATTGTTCACTAGACCGACTGTTTTGCATGGCCGATAGTTGCAGACAGGTACGGATAGTTAGTCACGCCGCCTATTCCCTTGGACGACTGGTTGTCTGTTTCCAGGATAGACGATCAGTCGGCCATTTATCCAATCGGTATTCGAACTATTTTAAAGACTGGATCCTTTTTAGGTAGGCGGTCCTGTCATTTGTAAATTTATCCAAGTAGGAAAGTGGTCTGACCAAGTAAACATGAGTGTTACCTAGTCGCCAAGGAACTGAGTAGTAGAGATAACAAGCGGCGGGTACCGGTTGTTTCCCTTTATTCGCCAATGTTTGTTGGCTTTTAACTCATAATTTGTTAACCTAGCAGGAGTAGTGGTTGAGAGCCCCTGTTTGCTAAAAACAGGCGGACGACTCATACCTTTTAGGCTCCATACTAAGTTTGAGGGAGTGACTATAAGTTACCATAGGAGTTACTTAGTCTCCGTCACAATCTAGATTGAGTAGTAGAGGTACCAGGCGGCGGAGGCCGGCTGATCCCCTTGATTCGCCAATGTTTGTTGGCTATTAACTCAATAGGTTACCTAGTAGGAATAGGGGTTTGAGTGCCCCTGTTTGCCAAAAAACAGGCGGTCTACTCAAACCTTTTAGGTTCCCTACCAAATTTGAGGGAGTGACTATGAGTTAACGTTGGAGTTACTCAGTCGCCGTCACTCTTGCTTGAGAAGTAGAGGTACCAGGCGGCCTGCTCGTTCAGTCTTTTTCTTGAGACCGTCAGAGATGATTTTATTAAAGGCTTCTACCTGGCCGTTTGCTTGTGGACGGCCGACAGATGCAAAGTAGTTTGCAATTCCTTGGTCACCCAACCAGCTTTTGAGAACAGGCGTCTCAAATTGGGGACCATTATCAAAAACCATAGACATGGGAACCCCGAACCGAGTGATGACATTTTT